TTCCAAAATTTCCCTTTCAAAAAACGTCCCCACTTGAAACCCCACTGTAAAGAAAAGAGTAGAGTTATTTTTGACTTTTGTGGCTTTGTTGTCCCTTAGTTTTCCTTCTGTCCACCGTTCTATTTTCTGCCAGCATTTCTTGTTACTGATGACAGTTGAGACAGCTGGGTTTTCTGAGTCAGGTACTGTGTCCCAAAAATTAGTTCCTCTTTTCTTCAGTATACCTACAGATTTATTGCCAGTAAAACCTGTGAGTTAATTTTATGCCTGCCACGCGGGACTTATTGGGTTCAGTAGGTTTATTTCAAACCTCAAACTTGGGTAATTAAACCCTGCTAATACTGACAAAATTATAAAGAAAAAGGTTATAGGTTACACATTAACACACTAATGAACAGAACATAACAATATAAGTATTTATACAAGAAATGTTAGTTAAACATACATTTATAACTAGCCTTAAGAGAAAAGTAAAGAGAAAAGTGAAGGAGAAACTGAGCTCCAGAGTAGAAAAAGTAAGACTCATAACGCCAAGACTCCCTTATATAGTGTTTTAAACGATTGCCATCTGTCGAGATTAAGCTGATGTTTACAGCCTGCGCCAATAATCCGTTACCAATTCTATGACAGTTTCAGGTCAATCTTCAGATTTACAACATACTGTCAACAGCTCCAGATTGCTGTCGCGGTTGATCTTGAGGTCAATCATGGATTATTGTTAGTATTAGACCTATATGCTCTGACCAACAGCAATCTGTTTAGCATTGCAAGTTGTTACTGTAACCAATAATTCATAATGATTGGTGTCGTTTACAGCTAGGTTTATCCCTCGGTGTCCTGACCATTAGCGATCTGTGTGACCTTACCGTTGTTCCTCCTAATCTTTTTTCTAAACTTGCCTTCCAGCGACACCCACCTTTTTCCTGCAAACCCTCTTTTTGCATCGAAAATACCTTCTCCGCACACTACCGTCTTCATGCCTATCAGCAGTTAGGTTCATACCGTTGCCGCAAAAACAAGCTCGCTAAACGAAAAGAACCCCAAACACTCGAAAAAAAGCCTTAAACTCTTCATCAGAAAGCGTAAGCTTCTGAGAAAGATCCCGATGACCAGAACTACGTAAACAATCCATCCGAGTGTAAGAAAACGCACACCGATTAACACTTAATTGGTGGAAGACAATGAATAACATCCAAGAATAGCAGAAAGTAACTTTCAGCCTCTGGGATTTGCAAATACAAATGGAAATTCTGAAGTTTTACCAGCGAAAAACCAAGATACTCGCTGGGAACAGAACCAGCAACCACTACGCGACACGCTAGCTCACAATTCCCCGCGCAGATCGAAAGCTCAGGGATACACCATTTTAAGGCATATTTGAAGTTTTTTTGCCATTAGGTAAAGGAGAGAAAGATAAAGTTTTCTGAGCCCCTTTCGCTTCACTTGCCTTTCCTCTGCTTCAGCTGTGTTTGAAAGATGGACATTTGCCATTTTCTCGGCTTCCCCCCTCCCCCTACTCCTCACCAAAATTTTTTGATATTTATTGAATGCTAAACAGCAAACTAATCACCCGGTCCTTATCCAATCAAATATATATTTGACATTTTTTTCCGTTAAACTTTTTCATTTGTTTTTTTTTTCTTAAACATATTTTAGTTTTGATGGTCGCAGGACATAGCAGCGCATAAAAGACTGACAGTTCTTTATCAATAGAACGTCGGCAACTATCATGCACTGTCTTGTTTTATTAAACCATCTAGATTCTGAGCACCAGTTTTCTATTTATTTGAAATACTTAAAAAAAACAAATTTTGATCTACCTTAACCGATAAACTACTTTTTACATCAAAATTTGAGGTTTTCAGAATTATCACTGTATCAGTTCTTATTCATACTGTATCTTACTGAATCAAAATAATTTGAGGTAAAAAAAAACACCATTTACTGCACGTTCCTTTTCACAAAAACCAAGTAATTAAAAAAATGTGCTGAAAGAGCCTTTTAGATCAGACAACCAAATTTGTCAAACTCATTTCGTCTTTAAATGCTACAAATTCGCCGAACATTCAGTGAAATTATTTGTACAGACAAATAAACAACAGAAAAAAAGTTCTGATTTACACAAAGTTTAAAAATTTAAACAGTTGTTTTGTGTGTTTTTTCTTCGCAAGTGACATATGATCAACAAATTGTTAGATTATCGTAAAAAAATTCGTTGACAAATAAATGGTTTGAGTTCAGAGCAATCTTTGATATGCCATTTGCCATCAGATGTTATTGAGGTACATCCTTTCAGTGGTTGTTTTTCATCAAAATTTGAATAAGTTGAGTCCGGTGATGACATTGTGCTAGTCTTTGTTTTTGTCCCAAACCATACTTCTTGTTCAATTTCGGTCTCATTCAGTGCATCAGTTAAAATATCTGAAGGAAAATATAAACTTAATGATTTTGGTATCTACAAAAATATGACTCGTGAAACTTTTTTTTACAAAGCGAATATAGTGCTGGTTTTTTTAGTTCTTTCAACTTAAGTAACGATATAAAAGTGTTGCTTTTTAAATGTATAGCATAGATTCTTCAATTATTTTGAAATTTAACATTTTTTTGGTTTAGAAAATTTCAAAAGAAATAATTTTTACTTGACCAAAACCACTGTCAGTTTTCCTACCTTTCACTGTGAAAGATATAAAACTTTTCAACAAGCTACACTAGAATGTAAAGAAAAAACGTGGGAATTTAAGCAACAGTTCTTTCAACAGTAATTTGTAAACACAACTTAAACCTTTCACATAGTCGTTTTTGTAACGTGTATCAATAAATGCCAAATGAGCATCAAACCATCGACATATTTCCTGAATTACTGCCCAGTTTATAAATAAAACTGAATAGTAGAAGAAGCAGTAAAATGACAAATGTTGACAGTCAATTAAATTGATAATGAAACAAATGACATCGCTTTAAAAATAAATAAATAAAAAATAAAGTGTTTATTACTACCTGAGCGTCATCAAAATTTTTATTTATAAAGAACACATTGTATAGAGATCCAGAATCAGTTCTTTTCCAGTCGTAAGTAACTGCTTTTTTTAATCCGTCCAGCTGAAAAAACTTCTATTATGGTATACTTTGAGCGGTGAAACTAATCAACTAGTAAAACACTGGTGTAACTGCTGTTTTCGGTCGAACAATGAAAATACATTTATGTCTTATGCGAAGCTATATAAGTACATCAACAAAATATAATTGCTCATTCCTATATAGGCTAAAAAAAATATAAAAACCTCCTTCTCCAGATACTCGATTCGGTCTTGAACTGCTAAAATCTGACGACTAAAACGAGCCGTCAAATCACTGCTAAGTTCTTTCATTCGTTTATTCACGTCATTAACGTTGCTTTGCAACCCATTGGTGGAGAACGTTTCGTACGACGGATAAAAAGTGGAGTACTGAAAATATCTACCGGTTTGCCTTGTATAAGTGTTATAAACCATTTGATTGGCATTTACTTCCCATAATAAATTAAAACACTGTAACTAATGTTAAAATAATTTGCCGAACGATTTAAATGACGACAAATGATCAACAAATCACATTTAATAAATTTTACTTGAGATGAAAAATTAAAGATAGTTTCAAAAATTATAGGTATTTTTGTCTGATTAATGTCAGCAAAATAAGAAAAGAACACTTTATTTAAAAATTAGTAAATTATGACGTAAAAATCCAGATATTACCAATTTAGTTGTGCTCGTACTGCTTTAACGACTAAACGGTGCTTCTTAGAGAAAGGTGCAGAAAGTTGATAATTGTCAATGAAAACTATTTGTTGATATTTCTAGGTACTTGAACAACCGTTTCTTTAAAGCCGTAGCTGGCAACAGTAACAGTTATTCGGAGAGTACATTTTCAGAATAACCTTTCAGTAACCAAAATGATCGAGCGAAACATAAAACAAATGCTATCAAGCAAAAATTTATATTTTTATAGCTAATTTACAGAATTTTCAATGTTGATAACAGTATTATCAAGATTTTCAAAAGTAGAAAAAAAATGAAGAAATGAGAAAAATTCCAGCCATTACTGATCTACAGATTGACACCGATGATAATAATGATGAACAAGTGAACTGGAACACTCAAAATTTCTAGAAATCCAAACAAAAAGAAAATACATAAGTAAAATGAGAAAAGCTTACTGATATGTATTGAGCATCGCAAAAACTGCCAAGCAAAATTAGCAGGCTGACAAAGAAATTGTCCATTGCCTGAAAAATGTTAGTTATTAAAAAATTAAAATTTTTAAGAATTCAATTTTTTGAAAAAAAGATTAATATAGTATGTTTACAATAAAAAAAATTTCTCTAAAGCTGTAGGCATAAGAATAAAATGTGAACTTTTTATGACAAATAAGGTTCATTAATGCAACAAACACTAGAATTTATTAAGATGTATCAAAAAACAACGGTATAAAAAACTCATAAATTTGAAAACCACTAATGTTTTACAATTTTTTCTTAATTGTGAGTTGAAACAGCTTCCAAAATCAATTAAGTTCAATATTTTGTTGCAAAGTTAGAATCGAACTAGCAGAAGTTTTTAACAGGAATACAGTCAAAATTTGTAGATCGTCAAAAAAGTACCGAAAAATTAAAAAAAACAACAGCAGCAGATTTGAATTAGACTTCAACTTAGACTAAGTGTTCGTTTTTTACAAATTTCAGCACTTTTGAACGACAGAACTGCTGAAAAAAAAAAGTGATGTTGAAACTATGGTACGCCTTCCGTTCTCCAGTTGGATTGTCGCTCAAAAATGTCAGGGCATGAATCATCTGATTGATTAATACTGCAAAAAAAAAAAAAAAAAAGTTGACCTTAAAAGCCTAAGTTCAGCCAATTCCAAATGAAAGGAAAAAAAGTGAGAACAGAAAGGTTAATCTCTGAAATAGTGAAAAAAAGGAGACCAAAAGTACATTCGCCTGTGTCTTCGAATTTTCTCTTCCACATTTTTCATTTATTCCTTAACGAATGTGTTGCGAAACATACAGCAGAAGCGACAAGTCAGAGAGTAGAAGACTATAATGGTACTGAAGAAAGTGGGAAAGCCTGAATCAGTCTTGCTCTTGGAAACCTCTTTATCTATAGTTTTCACTACAAATGTTGAGATCTTTGCAAAGCCTAATTGACTTGAGAAACAATACAAATCAAGAGTTTTTAATTAGAACTAAAATATAAAGTAAATTATCTTAAGCCAATCAAAAAAAACTGCTTAACATTTGTTTTAGTAGAAAATCACGAAGTGAAGGTACATTCAAGACTAAAATCTCCTCATTCAAATTCAAAAATCATTAAACGGAAAGCGACAGTCACTTTCCACTTTCCACACGAATCCTTTTTATAGAGCAAAGCTTTGCTTCTTTTGTAATCCGGATTAAATTGGTTATATGATGATGCTAAGTTTTTTTTCTACAGTTCAGTTTCTTCAAGTAACACTGATTTCCAGTAACAGCTACTCAGGTTTCGAAGGTCGCTATAAGTGTTGACTCTCTGAAAAAAAAAAAAAGAGCACTCAGTGCCGTGACAGAGTAAATTAGCCTGATAAAAAATAAGTCATGCTTTGCGAATACTTATAAACGTTGTTACTGAGATACGGGATAGGTATCACTGAAAAAGCGTCGTCCAAAATAACCTCTGGCTTCGAAAAGCTACGCTTCAAGTAAAGATTTTTTTGCGGAAAAAGAAGCATGATGTCTAAAGGGTGGAGCAGATCAGTGAGTAAAAGGATAATGTTCAGTGAATTTTCAAGTAATGTAATTGGAACATAAAACTAAAAAAAATTGAAACATGTTTTTTGTTACTCCAGACTTTACACAACAATTTCGACCGTATGATAAAAACATACCTTCAGTATTGGCTTTGCGTTCGAGAGCAAAGCAACTGAAATGTCTTTAAATGTGTGAAATGTTCATTTTTTGTACTTTCTATTATTATTTATTCCCTTGTCTATTATTATTATTATTATTATTTCTATTCTTATTATTATTACTGTCATTTTGTAAACCATTTTACCAAATGATTTAAATAATTAGGGGTTTGATAAAGAAAATACTACTGATAATAGCACGTTTCTTCCACGACTGTATATGCTGAAGACGTCAGGCTTTTTAATCGAGACAAAGTAGAAAGTAACGCCCTTTTACTGCCGCTAATTTGATCACAAGTTATTACTTTTCCATTTTTTTTCCTCTTTTACTAATAGCTAAAAGGTCGTTCTGTTGAATTTAGTGTGTGATTTAGATTCAGCAAGACTAAATAACTTGTCCCGTTTGAACAGCCTCAAATGTCATAGTGGGTGTGTCGGAACAGTTATAGGGACAATAGTAGCAGGTAGCCAAAGAAGAACAGTAATATCTTTGTTCTTCTATTAAGATGACCACTTCTTTTACGATTCTTTATTTATAACAGTTGTTTTCCATACAGTAATATTAAAGTACTAATAAGTTGCTTCTTTATGGAATAAAAATACAGTTAATTTGTTACACTATAAATCGCTTTTTAAGAGAAACCGATTTTACAAAGTTGCATAAAAATAGTGACGGTTCAAAATTATTGCAAACTGATGAGTTGCTTGTTAACAGAAAAATAGTCGTAGCTTACTTCGTAAAAATTTTTTCAAAAAAAGCGATAATTTGAAATATTATAGCATTTTTATGAGTAAGCTACCCCCACTTTATTCGGAGCCTTTGCTAGTTCTTGTTTATGATGTTCGCTGATTTAATAAGAACTCCTTTAGTCAACCGCCTCCGATTCAAATTTACATTTGCTGTATTAAGGCATACCAATTTTATACGCGACTCAAATAGTGATGGCAAAGCAGTGGTGAGGTATACGTCGTAGGTCAAATTCTACTTCGTTCGACAATGACGGAGCAAAAATAAAACGGTGGTTCTATGTCGAATGACACCTTTTACAGTATTAACGCGTGCTCAAGGCTAAGTCATTTCAGTAGAAACACTGTTTTCAATTCCTGAAAAATTATACCGTTCACAATATCGTCTTTTTGCATAGTTTTTCTTCTGATATACTCAGTCATGTGCGATTAAAAACTGGGTTACGGGGTCAAAAAATTGAGGAAAACACCATAAAACTGAAACTATGCAGAATATTCTTTTAAATATTGAATTTAATCGGACATTTACTCAAGTGGATCAAATGTAAACATTATCTGCAAAATGTGGCATAATCTCTAGCTAAATCAATGGCCATCTCAATTACGTTAACTCAACGATAACAGCTGATTGCATTAACCTGAAAAAAGAAAAACAGATTATTGAACTCCATATATTTTGAAAACCACCTGAAGACCATTTAGTTACATTTGACCGGAAACTACTCGCTTAGTTTGACTCTGCAAAAAGTCTGCATTGTCTTGAAGTTAAAAAAAATAAGACTTTTATGGTAGCTTGTGACGCGAAACCAGATAATAAAGGTAATTCTAGCTTCATCAGATGCAGACAATCACGACAACCGTATCTTGTGCGAAAACACGGAAACAGCTCCAAACCAACCTAGCCTATTAATACATTCTACCTCTCACCAAATTCTGCGCACAAAGGTTTTAAAACGCCGCAAAAGTTTGAAACAGCAATAGCAAAAGGACTGAATAATACCGAATCTTCTTTTCACCACTGCTACAACTAAAGTATTTCTAGGTTTCCACTTTTCACAAACTGACCAACAGGAGATTTGTCGAATCGAGCATACTGACTCAATCTCTACATTGAACAAAACTATGTTCTTCCTTTCCTATCAGTTGCGAAGGGGTGATTGAACCGCATTGCCAAACTCTACTCCCCAGTTTACAAATGATTACTATTTTTTCAACGTTTGGAGTTCTTCACTAAAAATTTTATGTAAAACATGCACAGAGCATCCGCATTCTCGCCACTTAAGATAGCAGACCATGCATCCCAAACCTTCCACAGTGTAATGTTACGTAGATATTCGTACCACTTCTTTCGGGTTGTAAGCTTAATTTTAAAAAAAATCGTGTTCACCTAAAAAAGTGTAATGAAAGAGCTTATGCGAAAGCCTAATAAAAGATGCTTCTTGATTGTCGATAAATTCCTTCATTTCTTGTTAAACAAAAAGTAAAGTAATCTATATAGAGGCTTAAAAAGAGGCCTTGGATTAAAATTTCACCCAAATTTTAAACTTGACTGCAGTCTGAAGCTTTGTTAATGCCAACAAAAAGCAAATTTTTTTATATCCTCCATACTTGAAAATGCATAGAAAACCAACACTGATATCAATTATCGTTAATACATGTATATCAAGAGACTAACTGAAAAAAGTAAACAGTCAATCAGCAAAGATATCCCTTCATATTTAGCAAACTGGAAATCAAAAATTCCACTCATAATCCACATTTTCTACAAAGCAAATTCACATGATGAGATACTCATATGACAACAACAACTCCTAACTTACGGTTTCCAGTAAGAAAATAGAAATTCGTAATCTTAAAAATAATAAATAATCCCCTCACAATTTAACAGCTGCATGAAAGAGACATGAATATGTATACATACGTGTAAAACTAATATCACTAGCTTCTCAAAAAGTAAAATAAAAAAGCAAATATACAACTAACTATCAGATCTTCGAAGCAATTAAGGTAGATTAATTTAAACAACCCGTCAGGCAGACTTAGCAAAAAGAAAAAATGAAAAAAAAACAAAAGCTGATTTTCCCAAAAATACAAAAAGATAAGCAATAATTGGTAAGAATGACAAATTGAAAAACTACAAGATCAAAATCCCCTCACAGAATTTCATCTCTGTATTAAATACTCTGACATATTTTCTGCCTTGTGAAAAGAGGAAGACCTAAACATGTGAGACCACGAGGAAATAAATCGCTAACAAATAACTCCTGGTATCTCTGATACTGAGTACACCAACAAAAATTCATTTTCCAAATCAGACAAAATACCATAAAAACTTATTTCAGCCGTCTACTTTAAAACGTTCTTCTGTTAGCGAAATTGAAAGCCTACAGCAATCTTAAAAACTAGTGGTTAAAAAGCAAGAGAGAAAGACTACAAAACAAATATTAAAAAACCATCGCACAGATAAAAAATCACACCTGCAACGTCCCATAACTAACGATTATACAACAAAGTGAAACGCCACAGCGAAGAAGACAAAAAAAATACTTAAAACCAAGGGTGCCAACACGGATCCGCATGAGCTAAGTTTTCTACGAACCGCGCTGCTTTCATGAGCTCCTCCACTCGCGAAACAGGGTCTATACCCTCAACAAATGCTGAAAATGAGCGGTAGAAAAATTAGAAGAAAATAAGTAAGAGCTCAGCTATTAAAACTGCGAAACAGGTCTACGTAGTTGTTTTGGATAAAGCTTTCAACTCTCCAAAGTTTATCCAAATCAACTTTAGGCAAAATTTTTCACCGTTCAGTCTTTTTTGAACACCAGCGACTGCAGCATCAACGTTTTTCCACCAGCTAGAGTCCACCAAATCATGATTCAACAAACGATCCGAAAACACATCCCATAGGAGGGGTCTTAAATAAAGTGAAACGTTTTGTTGCAAAAAACAACGAACAATGGCGACCATTGCACATTTATAGTGACCTGAAATAAACAATATAGTTTTTCCTTCAGAAGCGAAATATTAGTTGATCGCCAAAAAATTAAATGATATACTAGAATAATCAAGGCTTAACAGCAGTTTATTTTAAACAGCCAAAATAAATAAACAGTCAAAAAACAAAAAACTCAAAAATACTACAGAATAACAAAACCATTGAGGCAAACCTTCAACTGACATTTCCAAAAAGCGAACCAAATTCGGCGTTAGCCGGAATGGAACTACCTTGGTGCAGTCAAGAGACACTGTAAAAGTGCAACGTTGAAAAAAATTTGAATAAATACTTTTACAAACTGTTCAAACAAATTTTGTACCGTCGAAACTCAATAAAATAATCATTTGCAATGTAAAATTTTGACTTGAACAAATGGTAAACTAATTTTAATCAGATGGCTATCAGAAACTAGATTACTGAACTCATGATTAGAAAAGGTTTGATACGCAACTACTGTTTAAAGACTTACTCGTCGATGAATTAATAGCGAAGTCAAAGTCAGCATAAGACAGTTGACCCGTTGATAAGTCTAGACCCATTGGCTCCAGCTTCATTGCAGTCATTGCAAATAGATGTTCAGAAACACACAACAAGGACAATTGTAAAGCTAACTAAAATAAACTGACTAGCAACAATGAAAAGACAGAGCAGCATCCGATAGTTAAAATTTTTAGGTAGATCTCTACAAGACTCCTCCAAAATGCAGTGCGACTAGATAAGTAAACCTGTTTCCGTAATGTAAAAAGATGAGTCGGATTATTGTATCTTGCATGCAGCCACTCAGACAATAAATCCGATGGAACAAAATTTACGCAGCAATGCTTATAGGTATCCAAAAGTTGCGAAACTGGAGGCTGTCCTCGTAACTCTGATAGTACACTACAATATCTAAAAAGCAGTAACTTGACAACAACGTTCATTGCAAAACTGCACTAATGACAATCAAATTGCCGATACCTCAAGACAATATCAGTGGCGCCACGAAGTCTAGTTCTAGCAGTAACCACGTCATTAAGAATATCAATGAACGAATAATAAGCGTCCGTTCTATTTGGACACTCAAGCAAAGCAAAAGTTCCAGAATAAACTGCTCTTGGGATCACAAACTGGAGAAATCTACGACACGTCTCCTGCAATTAGAGAACATTAACTGAAAAACTATAAGTTCCGTTTTTGTCAAAAGCAGATGACAGCAAGTAAACAGCTTCTTTCATTACATTTATTACTTTAATAGAAACTTTTTAAGAGAACTCACTCTGTCCCGATCCAAAATGATGTTTGCTGCTGAAAACAGCTGAAGCACATAGTTCCGTCTTTTTGTGCAATGCTTTATAAAATGATACGAGTAAATCTGAAAATAAGCTGCCACTATAAATTTCATCACTCTCTACCAACAATACACCTTATATTGTCAAATAAACTTGTGTTCAGGAACTAAATATTCAGAAAATGAGAAGAAAAACCTAAAGTTTGACCTAAACCTCAAGTTTCCTTGTTTTTGGTCCCCTTCCAAAGAAAATTGATCTCTAAATAAATCTGCAAGTAACTGTGCCTATAGACACACAACCTCCAAAAATCAATAACGAACCTTGCCATTAAGTGCACGAATCGTTATGCGACGACAAATAACGCCATCCCTATGTACAAGATGGTACACTGGCATGAAACGAGAAATAAATGCTGAGTACTGTTTGGTCTAAAAGTTTCGAATGTCAGTTTTTAATTTAATCGCCACAAACTTGCATTAAAGAACTACCTTTGTAGAAATAACCTCTCCAAGTACTTCAACATTAGCAACTTTGCAAGTGTATGATGCAAGGAAAGGACTGACATCCCTAAGCATCCTTTCTCTGAAAAAAAACCAGCAGTGCTTAAAGTCCCATAAAATTAAGAATAACTATTCATGGCTACAATAGTTATACCTCAAAAACATAAAGAAATGACTACTTTGGTAAATCTCCAAGTTTGGTGAGAAGGGAAGAGATCCAACCATCCAACACTGCCACAATCCTTAAAACTCGCCTGCTTGCTAGTGACGGGAATGTAAGATCTTTTGCCAGAACCTCTGTACAAAAGCGAATAAACTGCAAAAGCAAAAAGATATATGACAGATAAAAATTAATACGTCCATTTACCCCGCTAAACCACTTTTTTATTGCACAAATTTGTTACAAAGTCAATTACCATTGTTACAAAAAATTTTCCGAAACTTCATGGTCCTACCTCTCTATCATCGCCTTCAGCAATGTTGTTAGGATTGCAAAGCAGTTGTGCCCATCGACATAAATCATTCTCTATCTCTTTTGGAATAATTACTGTCGCTACGTCCTCTCGATTTTCCAAACAAGATCTGGAAAATAAAGAATAAAAAAGAAAGAAAAGAAAGCTCAAAGTGTTAGCAAGTCAGAAGAAAGTTTACATAAAGTTTAGAAGACGATCCCGAAATGCAGTTGCTATTCTTATATTTCGCTCCAACCAAGACTCACTAATAGCATCTAACTCAGAGAAAATTCGGCTTAGAGCTAGTATATCGGGCGGCCGCTGATGGCATATTTGTGCTACTATTCTCAACGCGTAGTCCTCAAACGCGCCCTCAACTGGTAGGGAGAGCTCTTGCTTCTGATTGAAAGCTGTAATCATAAAAGATAGTTTTTTAAAGGAAATGCAGAATCGTTTATGTCGAAACAATCCGCACGACAAGGAGTACTTTTAAAAAAACTTTTTAATATGAATTTGTTAACAATTTCGTAATCTGAGAGGCCAAAAAAGATGGATATATACCTTCCCGAACTGCCCTTTCAACATCAGCTGAATCCATCGCAGAACGAATAGCGCAAAATGTTTGCTGTTCAAAGTTTTCAGCAACGTACGATATTATTGTCGCGATTGAACGGCATGGTCTGCGCCGGAGTTCAGAAATAAGCTGGGGAAGCCTTAACATGATGATACTTGAGTAGGATTACCAAATGAATTATAGATTAGAAGACATGGCTACACTTCAATCAAATGCTGAATACAAATATAAGTAAAAGCTTATAGACTAAAAGAATTTCTGGCAAAGATTTTACGTCGGTTATCAAAAGACACTTTTTTGTCGCATTTGTTGTAAAAATTTAAACTACAAAAATGTAACAACCAATATAGCCAATTCAAAGCAGGAATGTCACAAGCGAATTTTTCAACGACGGCATACATTTTTCCACACACAACTTCACCATGACACGACATATTCTGAAAAAAGCCTTCAGTTAACTACTATTAACAGTGTATCAGAAATCCCCTAAAAGAAATATGCTGAAAATGCTAACAGGAATAATTGTAAAAACAACCTTAAAAAGCCAAAAGAATCTTGCTAGGTATTTCCTGGTCTTCTCTTCATTGTCCACACGTGCACCTTCCAAAATGCAAGAGAGAGCATTTATGCCGTAGTCCAAAGCAGTGTCCTCACATCTGCACAACATTAAAGCTTGTAACATTCCAACTCGATCGAATTTTTAATTGCATTGATGATAAAAAATAAATCTATGAGGCCTTTAAACAGCTGTTCTTTTATGAAAAGGTCATTTCTGAACATACATGTTATTAAAATATAAATTTTCCAAATGTTCTCCCCAACGAGACCAAACTGAGTTCTTAACGCCACTTGGGTCGCTTAAGGTAGCAGCAGCAGAAAAAGCGCGATTGGCCTCCTCAGACCTAAACAAAACTGTCTCGGAAGCAAAAACTCAAGAGTAAATAAAAAATTCATCAAGAAACTAGAAAGAGCCTTCAAAGCTGGCAAAACAAATTTTAAAAAGGCTAATTCAACTCACTTTCCTAGCTTAGATAGGACCACGCCCTTAAGAGAAAATATTTTAGCGACGTGTTCCTTATTCAACGCATTCAGTTTAACATTTTCGGTAATCGCAAGTGCTTCATTCAGAGCTGTCTGTCGTTCTTGTTGCGTAACGTTAAATTCAGACGCTTTCTTAACCATACATTTTATATGTTCTGTGACGCGAGAGTTAGCGTCTGCTGGAAGAACAGCAGGAAGTGTGTGTAGCCTAAATTTATCACCATATCAGATTAAAAATAATTACGAATTGCAATACAAGTGCCACTAAATTGTAAAATACGAAAAACCTACCTGTTTAAAGAGTCTTGAGCAACGTTAAAAAGACCGCATCTACGAGCAGCCCGAGCTAACTGCTCCTCAGAAACTGCAGCGGTATGCAACGCCAAATGTGTATGTTGAATTTGATTTGAAGGGAACTGTAAAGAAAAATATTTAGTTTGCCATTATTTAAAAAAAATACATTTGGAACACTAGCCTTTGAATTTTTAAATTATAGTTTACCGCCTCATATATGCCGAAAAATAAACAAAGCAATATGATAAGAAAAATTTACTGTTTCCCATCGTCTGAGTAGCTTTACAATGGCAGTAAAATGATGTATTCGCCAATGATGTATGTCCATCCAGTGGGAATAGTCATCAGCCAAAGTTGGCGTTCTGTTCCTAAAAAAATATAAGTAAATGAAAAAACCTATTTACCTACACGAAATCGATGTTTTTACACAACTCTTTGAAAAAGTATTAGAAAATTTTTCTGAAAAATTGAGCAATGCAAATAAGCAGAAAAATAAGCGCGAAAAAAACAATAGATTAAATGAATAGTGAAGCGTACTGAGAGAGAAATAATGAAAAAAAGCTAGACCTCCAAGTTTTTATTAGAGATTTGATTTCTGTGATTATGTTGGTGTGTTGCGCTTGGCGTGAATTTGCGAGTAACACACTTACTGACAATGTAGATGCTTCACCGACTTCTTCAACACGATTTGCCGACTAAAAGAAAAAGAACGTTGTGAAAAAAATAAGAATAACACAGAGAAATTTGCTACTGTGAAACTGCCTTCAAAAAATACCTGCAAAATACTGATGTGGCTGTGCGAAACGACTTTCGGTAAACGCTCCCACTTCCTCATCAACTCTTCGTTGCAGTCATCCAATAATTTTTTAATTCTAATTTTTAATTTTTCCGACTCTTCTTCATAAAGGCTCGGGTGTATCACCTGAAGAAATTATGATATACTCTTGGCAAGTAAAAGAACTAGTAAAATATGATTTGGTTAAAGAGGTGTAAGAAGAAGTAAAATTATTCAGCCATTACCAGGTGCATCGCTTTATATAAACACACATCAAAGAACAAATGTGGCGGCGTACAACCTTCTAGTTGGACTAAACACTCGCCAAGAAGGTCCCACTCAGGAATATGCCAGCTCGATTCGGCTAGCAGTCCAAGATCTTGAACAGGTTGAGCATTTGCAAAATCACGCAAATCCTCCCAACGACCTAATTCCTTTGTAGATCTGGAATATTAGTCAAATTCAAGAGTCCTGGTCAGGCAGAATAAAACAGCAACATGAAGGTTTCCTCAAAAACTTACTTGACCCAAATTTTTTGCCATTCTTCGTACTCAGAATATAACGCTGAAGTGACCGAACTCGCATCACCAGCCCTTGCACACAACCGATCCGATGTCGCATCCATCAGAGAATTTACAAATTGCAATGCTTCATTATAATGTCCTGCAATGTAAAAAGTGAGGCTAAATGTAAACAAGTTAAAGAAGTAACTCACCAAACTAATTTGAAAACATTGGAAATAAGATAGAGACCTTGATTGCATAGAGAAACTGCATGTGCCGTACCATCATGGTACGCGCGTAAACTCCATAAAGCTTCTAGTTGGTCAGTCTCATCTAACTCTTCATAAAGCTCTTTAAGGCTGTCCATTGTAGCCTGAAAAACTCAACTGCCAGAAACACCAAGCAACGTATTTAAGCAAGTGAAAAGAGAAATTTGGAACCAGAAATCCATGAAAACTATTTGCTACAAGACGACTACCAGTTGGTGCACGAACGAAGGTGGCGGAAAAAGCTCCACAACATGAGGGTTTCCAAGCATCTTTGGTATCGAAAGCACATCTTTCTCCAACAACATTATTCCACGATGCCACGCATGATGGTTTGCAGATACATACTGCAATCACATGAAAACACTTCTCCGTTAAGGATTAGTAACACTAAAAGTCAAAAATTTCGAATTTAACAAAACTGACTTTCACTACATTAGGCTGAAACTTGATTGGAGGATTGCAGCGATAAATGGCTTCCATAAAAGTTCTAAGACCAGAGCAAGAACGGCTCTGTTGAGGTAAATGACAACCAGAAACTAAGAAAGGCATCATTTCAGCTTCAAGACTACTTCTTTCAAACGTCGTTAAACTGCCCCATAACGAAGTAAATAATTTAATCCAGATCTGAGATGCCAATTCAGAATCTGTAAAAGGAATCATAAAATGTACCAGAAAATTCAGTATTAAAAAAACTATTGTCAAAAAAAAAAAAA